AAAGAGAATGTATCCGAGCGATTCACAATCACTTGCGGAGATTCGCCGACATGTTTTACAGCCTCCTGGCAACCACGATCACATTCCGAAGACACAAGTGGCGGTATGCGTACCGCCACACGTACATTATCGTTATCAACATCGCCCACTGAACTAATTTTATTTTTACCCCCCATCGTGTATCGATTTTTCCACCTTCAAATTATTGGGTATGCAGATGTTTGTTTAATTTGCTGTTTTTTTTTTATCATAGGCACTACGTCAGTCAGTAATAATTAGTATTAGTTAAACATAAATAACGGAACTGAAAGAAAAATTAGGAAAATTGTAAGAATGTCCTTCAATAAGAGCACTTAAATTCGAAATGCCGGTGGCTGTCGTCGATTTCCATTGAGCAGCCGAATGTAATAGATTGCATGGATTGTGTACTGAAAAAAGAAGTTGCCATTACATATTTGTTAGGGGGTGTTAACGTTACCAATTTAAATTGAAAATATATAAATTTTTTCTAACTTTACTTTCGAATTTATTATATTTTTAATGATTATTTGCTAATTAATAAGGTGCTAAGGCATAATTTATATATTACATACAAATTCATAAATAAAATATAGGCTTATTGTTATTAGTATAAAATGAAATATAAATATTTTATTCATTGAAAATTAATAGCGCGAAATTATTTTTAAGGGGAAATAATTAAAATTCCAATTCATAAAGTTAACCACTTTGCAAAGAGTTACATTTTTGAATATTTTAATCCTCCATTTACACACACTTTGGTTTAATTGTGCATGTAAATTGACGTTAAAATATTAATATGAACCAATTGATTGGGTATATATGAAGTATTATGTTAAATATATACTTTTTATCACAATAATTTGCGATAATCATGTGTAGGAGCAGCTAAGTGTATACCTATTCGTTTGCTTGTGTTTAAACTAGTGTTTCTAATCATGCAACACGCCCGTTATCATGTCTGTATAGAATAACGTAAGTTATAAAATAACTTACATCAATATAGGTGTGGTGGTGTTTTTGCGTGAATAAACTATAAGAATTGATTGCCAAGGCCAATAAAACCTTTTACGAGTACTTTTTGAAAAAAAAGGTTTATTATCTTGCATTAGGCGTATTTCAACTATTCACTTTATATATTTGAATCTATATTATTTTTATAGTATATATTGGTAGTTAAGTTTAAGTTTACAAAGAACAATTGCCTCGGTTTTATTGCGACATTGTACGATCTATGCATTCAACTATTCACCCTATTATAAATGCATTTGTAATTACGGCTTGAAATTAATGGACTTTCATGGTCGTAATTACTTCTATACAAGTATTTTACCATATATCTATAAACTAGTTTTAAGAGATGTATGATTCATTGCTTGTAGACTGATTGGTAATAGTTAATCCATTTGAAAATATTACATGCGTATACATTTCTATTAAAAATGGCTTTTGCCACCAAGCGTTCCAGTGACCACACATTAACAAAGCCTGTAAACTTGTTTGGAAAAAATGTACTTATTGCACAACCGGAAGATAGATTACCTGTTTTCGATTGCGAAAAAGTGTATAAAAAATCAAACGCGAAACTAATTTAGTATATATGTACATATATATACACCTGAACACACATACCTATATTTAGTTCTATCTCAAACACAATACTCTTAATAGCGATAAGTAGTTATTGTTATCTACTATTATTTACCAAACCAGTTTTTATAGGTTTTTCTGTTGGTGTTAGGTTAAGAAGTTTAAAAAAGCGTTAATAACGCAAATTTGCAAAGAGAATATGATTTTAGATTAAGAAATATTGTCTTTCACACACATCATTTATAAAACACGTTTCATATGCCGGAAATATATTTATAAATAATATACCACTTATATAATATATAAATAATGGCAATGTGACTTTTATATGTTATATATTATATTATACTTACAATTCACATTACTTATACTTTTATTTATCCCAGCACAATAAGCAAACACATTTCAATTGCTTTCAATTTTTATTAAATTTCCGTTTAGCTCCCATATGTTCACTTAACTTATCGCTGCTGTTGCGATCGTTGACTATTGCTGCGCCGAATGTATTAAAAGCTTTTTTTTTTGTATTTTTGTATAGATTTGCGCGATTCCAGCTGAAATTTGGTGATAACGATTTGCAGCGTTGCCAGATTTTTCAAAAATAAGTAGTAAAACACACTTTTCATATTGTTAGTAAAAAAAATTTTAATTCGTGATAGTGCATCGTATCAAGTAGTAGATAGATAGATCGATTAGTTTTGAGGTATGCACCGCGACCTATGGTCTATTGTGCCCCCCCCCTAAGTCATATCGACTCATCTAGCCCCAGCATGTTGATAAACTCCAATATTCTGCTGGGTGCTAGTTAAGCGATACAATCCTTGTTTGGAAACATGGATCCCAGGGCCTTTATTCTGCGTCCGCAGACTGCTGTGCAGTTCATTAGCAGATGTTCTGGGGTTTCCGGCTCCATGTCACAGACCCGGCAGTTTGCAGAAGAGGCTAAGCCCATGTTGAAGAGATGCTTCTTGAGCCTGCAATGGCCGGTGTAGAACGCAACTAGCAGCCGGAGTTTGTGGATCAGCTCTTTAATGGTATGTGGACCAACCGCTATGCATGGTTCCGGTCCTACCATTTTTGTGGAGGCTGCAGAGCGGGCCAACTCGTCAGCCAGTTTGTTCCCGGCTATACTCCTGTGGCCAGGCACCCAAATAAGGTGCACTCGGTTGTGGTCTGATAGGCTGTTCAGCCGTTCTATACACTCCTGCACTAGAAGCGATCTGATCTCATAGGCAGAGATCGCTTTTAGTGCCGCCTGACTAGTTGCGTTGGAGGTATATCTCTACACACCGACTTATAGTATAGACCTCGGTGTGGAAAATGCTCGGAAAACTTCCCATTGGAATGGAGAGTTTGGTGCTTGGCCCAGCGTCGATGTACCACTTGATAGTGCTTTCCCTTAGCAGCAGGTCCAATGATGAATCATTCCATTCCGCCTTGCTGCCAAGGGTAACTTTGAACTTCTTAGTGAAGCTTACTACTTTGGTAATACTGTCCCTTGGGAGAAGGGCCAGTGGCATTTCCTCACTTAGCGCCTTCATTTGCTGGGACGAAATTACCTTCCCTCTACCATCTCCCTCTGCTGTCATTTGGAGCAGAGTCTGTTTGGCTGTCTGGAATTCAGCGTGAGGCCTAGGTACTTGACCGTGCTGGCCATCTCCAACACTCTGCCGTCAAGGGATAGATTTCTGAGGCCTGGCAGAGACCTCCGTCTAGTGAAGGGAATGATTGTAGTTTTTGAAGAGTTGATGCTTAGGCCAACCCCACTACACCATCCCTTTGCCATCCCAGTCTCCTCTGTACGTTATCGCAGAGTGTGTCTATGAATTTATCCCTAGCTAAGATAACAATGTGATCCGCATATCCCTGACATCGGATTCCATTGCTAGTTAGCAGCTCAAGAAGATCGTCCACAACTACAACCTCTTGTTTGGCCAAGACGAATTTTGACTACTACTGAGGTTTCAGCTACCCTAGTGCGCAGTACTTCTGCGAACCATCTGCGTACTGGTGCTGCCACACTCCTTTTCTCCAGTGCTCTAGACACGCTTTAGTGAGACGTATTGTCAAAAGCACCTTCGATGTCAAGGAAGGCGCATAACATCACCTCGCCCCCATCTAACAAACTCTGGATCTCCGAGGTTAGATGATACAGAGCATTATTTGTTGATTTGCCTGCTCTGTAAGCATGCTGGTTCGCATAAAGCGGTGAAGCCTTCAGCACCTTCGATCGTATTTCGTGGTCTATGATCTTTTCCATACTCTTAAGCAGGAAGGAAGTAAGACTGATTAGCCTGATGGATTTCGCCAGTGAGTAGCCTTTCCTTCCTACTTTGGGTATGAAGATCACCCTTGCAGTGCGCCATGGTTCTGGGATATATGCCAGCACTAGGCTATCCCTCATCAGCCGAACAAGGTGCGGAAGTAGTACCTGTTGCAGAAATGATGGAAGGATGCCATCCACACCTGGATACTTATATTTTTCAACGGAGGCCAAAGTCCACTTGACGGAGTCTGCAGTGAAGAGCTGTTTTGCGACTATCCAGTCTAAGTCTCCGGGAAATGCGCAAGTAGAAGAACCTGGACGTATAGGTCCCATCCGATCTTTTAATTGCTAGTACTGTGTCCGTCTTGCCTCTAGCCAGAGCCTTATGCAGTCTTGCTGCCTCTGGCGTTGAGGAGACGCTTTCACAGAACTTTCTGAAGCTCTTCTGCTTTGCTGTCCTAATCTCCTTATTGTAAGCAGTTAGGCTGCACCTGTAATCCTTCCAATTTCCGGTGCGCTTAGCCCTTTTAAATAGCTTGCGTACTGTTTTTCTTAATTCTGAGAGCCTACTAGACCACCAGGAGCAGTTGCGGCTCTTGGTGGTTGTCTTTAGGGGACAGTCAAGTAGTCAGTAAGTCAACTAACTGAAACGCTTATGTATATATGTTCGTTAAACTGTTTCTTACTTACTCGTTTTAAAAATTTTGCAATGTGTGTATATTAGTTTCCATGCAAATTCTTCCAAACTATAGCAGTTACGAGTAGTTCCGTCTTGCTGAGATTCATTTGAATGTGATTACAATATATTACCCATTCATTATAAATTACTGGCTATGAGTTTTAAAGTCTAACTGTAGACTTTTACATTCAACTTTAAACCATTGTATAGAACTATTTCACTTTTTTAAAAATATTTATTTAGAAATTTTAAAAAATTTTTTTAATATATTTGATTTAAAAGTAAGAGCAAAATAATAAGTTTTTTAGTAGAATGTGCAGGAAAGTTATAAAAACTACATTGTCAATACATAAGACAACTATGTGGTATCGTAATTGGTATTCTTTACAGAAAAAGTCTTTGGTGATTTGAAGTTCCTGTTATAAATTATTATTTTTAATAAACCTTTACTTAAATTTGCGATTAATCAGCTGTTATTTCCAATACGAATTTTTACTATAATGTGGCAGCGTCTAATATTCCACTAACCGATCTATTACAGTGCCATTCTCTACACAAGGTCTGAAAACTGTCTGTTAAATTCGCAGCTGGCGCAAACAAAGTCTACAAAAGCGCGCAAGACGCCAAATTCAGGTTGAAAAACGTAATATAAAGAAAAACCTTAATTTTCTCAATTTTGTAATTAACCCCGTTTATTGTTAGTAAACAATAAAGAGTAACTTCCTGCAAATATATACAAATAACGCTAGCTGATCAGATTACATTTCAATTAGCAGCAATCGAGTTACAGGTACGTAGAGTTGATGATTTGGCCAATATATGTATTTGTTGTATTTGTTGATTAACAATGCCAATGATTTTTCTTTAAATTACAGTGCTGCATTGTGAAATGGAAGCATCTAATGTTTTAAAAGAGTATCTGGAGTTGTTTACTGCAGATTGCAGGCAGTTAAAATTACTAGTTGCACCAAATGCCGCGGTTGATTGGTTCGGACGCACAGTTCGTGGTCCAGCAAAAATACATGATTACTTCAGGTTTGATTTCGAATTCGAAAGTCCTTTACATTTACTTAAATATAAATATTTTTTTGCACAGATTCGAAGTATCCACACAATATGAGCATGCAGATTTTGACAAAGCGGAAGAATGCCAACCAATTGAGCAGCGCCCGTCTCATTGGAAAACGTAATTTTTTACTATAGCCCTAAACCAATTAACACTTCAACATTTCAAAATGTATGCTTTTTAGAAAATCACTGCCAATGGAGGATGCAGACTTCGTTTTGCCAATAAATAAAGTCACTGGTATAACTACGTTGAAAAGTTACGCCGATAGTGACATTGAGGATGATGACTTGGAGATGCGACCGTTGCCAGGCAACCGTACACCAGAGCATCACAGCCGTCACGCATCGCATGTCGGTGAACTAACACCGCCTTCGAGTACAATTAAAATTGAAGATATTAATGCATCTGATTCGGAAAGTGATTTAGATGAGGAGGCATGTGCGTCAGCCCCCAAGCGCCTCAAACGGTCCACTCCAACACCATTCAGCTATTTGCGTCACATGCCGGCGTCTAGCAGTAAAACTACGCACGTCACAAAGCGTCAGTTAACATCAACCCAGTTTGACATGCAAATGTTGGGCGACGATACATCCAGTGATGAAGAGTTGGATGCAGATTTACGCAAAAAGATAGCCACTGAATATTCACCATTGAAGTATATAGAAACGATGGGTAAATTGCGAGTTAAACCAAAAATTTTAACTTCCACGGATTCACCACCAACACCATACCGCACAAGCGATTGGGATAGACCTGTGCGTCTACGTATATCATATCGTCGAAATTTGTCCGATCAATCCTTGCAAATTGCTTTGGTTATTTATGAACATCTGCCAAATAATAGCGCTGAGGGGAATCAAGATGTACCATCAACCATGGGAACGCGTCGTCGTAACCTAATGGCACAATTTAATGAAACCGCGCTAAGCGTACCGCCGCAGGCAACACAACAACAAGATGTGCAGGACACTGAAAGCATAGCAGTCACTGAAGTTGGCACAGCAGTACCATTGACGGATGTGGATGAAGAAAGCATCGCCATAAGCGTGGTGCAATTGCGTACACCTACGAAAAATGACCATACACCACCGGCTACGCCCAAACGAAGGCCAAGAGTACCATACACCTTGTCCGGCATGAAGCGAATCACTCCGTCCTCATCGACGACAACACCAAGACGTGGCGCTGCACGCACGCTACGACTGTGATGGGATTGTATCGAAGCAATATCGTAGAAAGATATTTATATTTAGTAAAACTTTAGCGCAATTTATTTTATATTTTTTATATGGTTGGTTGAAAATCAATTGTTCCGAATGTGTCAAAATCAGAGAAGCGTAGCAAGTGCATTTTTTTTATGGTTGGAATGAAATCGATGAAATGCATTTGCTTAAAATTGCCATTTGCCAAAAATATTCATGAAAAAATGATATTGTGTAGTCTGCTGCAAGTTATTAAATTACTTAAAGTATTTTTTCATACTTTTTATAATTTTTTTTTGTAAAATTAGAACGCCTGTGGTGCTTTAAACAAAACATATCTACATAGGTAATTTTTTGTTGTAATTTTTATTGTTTTAAATTTTTTAATTTGAATATTTTTTTAATTTTTATTGTTTTAAATTTTTTAATTTGAATATTTTTTAATTTTTATTTTCTATAATTTTAACTTTTTCTAAATTTTTGATTTTCATTCTAATTTTTTGTTTTAATTTTTATTTCAAATCATTTTTTATTTAATTAATTTAATATATTTTTTAAATATTTAATTTTTTTTTAATTTTTATTTACAATATATCTTATTATTTTTATTTAATATTGTTTTTTTTTTTGTTTTTATATACATATATTTGTACATATATTTTTTATTTCTTTTTTATTTCTATTCTTAAATTCTTATTTTTTTAATTCGTATATATTTCTTTTATAGCAAATGTTCTTGTCACATTCGGAATCCTTTAAAACGCATAAAAATATATACTGCTATTAGGAGTGGAGTTTATGAAAGGTTGTATACAAATTTTACAAAAATGCAATATTTACTGAAATGTTACAAATTTTTTGCAAATTAATTATTGCTGAAATTTCCTAATAAATTAATCATTATATATATTTATTATTTCTTTTTTTTTTGAAAATTTAATCATTTCAAGATAAATAAGTTTTGTAAAATTAAATTTTCCAAGTTCCCAAAAGTTTGAGAATTTGTATTTAAAGTATTGCTGTTATAAATCATAGAAAATTAAGATCTACATTTCACTAATTATATGCATTTTGAATTTGCTATGCCAACTTCAGCCATGAAATTGATTTTTGATGTCCTCCCTTATTCCTAAAAGTACGATGTACATATATATTTGAAAGCTCCTTTATGTAATACTAATTAACTTTAGTTTAAATTATCATACAAGGGTTTTATCATTTTGGCGCTCTTTTTTTCTATATTAGTATATATTTACATATATATATTTCAATATTATTCGTTTGCATATTTTCTACCGTTTTTTGATGGCCATTGGCAACTTTTATAGTGGTCTCATTTATTTGCTCCTAGGTATTTAAATAAATGTTAACTTAATTTACAATAAATTATGCATATGTATATACTTTATAAGTGTTTTAGACAGCCCCTTAATTAAGTCAATTAGCACATTAATTGACTGATTTAAGGGACTCTAAAACGTCGATCACATTGAAGTGAGTTATATTTTTGAATTGCATATTTAGATCTATTACTTTTTGAAATTTGAAGTGGCATAAGTTGTTGTAATGCCGCATTTGAATGCAAATTGTTTTATATCTTACATTACACTAGTAATGTATTAATTATGGTCATTGGTCATGGATTTTGTATTTAGAAAAAGATTAATAAATGTGTTGAGAGGAAAAGTTTGAAGAATTCTTGAAAAGAAAGTGACTCAAAACAATTAAAAAAAGTAGTCAGCATGCTGGAATGGCGCTTTATTCAAAAACGCTGCAAATAATAAATAATTATGAAAACTTTGTTCATATATGTATATACATACATTGTAGTATATGCAAGCTGTAATAATAATGACAAAGTCTACGAAGTGTTGAAATTGCAATATGAAGTCCACTGCATTATCGACTGTAACATTTTCATGAAAATGATTTTTTTTAAAAGCATTTAGAAAAAAAAAATTTTGGAAAAATTATTTTTGACGTCCAGCTTCCTCATTTCATTTGGAGAGCCTATAAAAGTAAATGCATGAAGGTAAATTGAAATGAAACTACTTTTTATTTATAATTTATAAATAATTTATATTATTACTTAGGGCTTTTTAAATACATTTTTTAAGTTTCTTAGTTTTTTTATATGTTTTTTCTATAAGTACGTACATAAGTTAACGGCCGTTTTCATGATTTACTTTTTTTTTTGTAATATAATTAATTCAATAAATATTTGTTTGCGATAGGTATTTGCGAAATTTTGGGATTAGTTACATATTTGTGACGTTCCACACATATTTTACGGCTATACATAAACAGTACTGTGTAAAGCATGTGCAACGGGGTCGCTTAATGATGTAAATTAAAAATTTTTTTTTCTACTATTTTTTCAATTCGATTATTTTGATAATAGCCCATATTTTTTCACGTTCGCCATAGTACTGGCTTTCTGCTGAATAAGAGATACGTTAAGCTATTTTTAAAACATATGAAGATTTCGTACAGCTATTTAGACTTTTTTTTTAAGGCAGCAGTTTCTTCTACTTAACCGATATACCAAAACAATTATTTTAGAAACTGATGCGGTGATCTAAAGCCACTAGTGTATTGCTAAGGGACCCAACCCTTTAAAAAGCGTAAAATAGATTTTCTATCAGTTGAGACACCTTTTAAGGCGTTGAAACTTTATTTAAGGGGAAGACGGTAGAAAGGAAGGTTAATTCGTGCAAAAATATATTTTGTGTATTTTTTGTGACGACACGTAAACTGTCTCTATCTAACCAACTCTCTATTAAAAACCAACGAGACGGCATAATTCGTTATATAATAGGTAACGTGAAAAGGGTTTTTTTGAAATTTACATTTTTAATTTTTTTTTGCAACATTGTTAATCAGTTGTTGAAAAATAAAAATTATTAATAAATTTGAAAATAATTCATCGGCGATAGTGTTCAAAATTTAAAAAACGTGAGTTGTGGGGAAAAGGCTGTAAAGTTTTGAACACTGTTAAAACGTTCATAAGACAGGGAAAAAAATACTGTTAACTTTCATTTAATTTTCTGCAATCAGTATTTCGACACAATATTCTTGAAGTATTATGTATTCATTAAAAAAATATAATAAGACAAAAAAACAAAAATTAAAATAAAAACAAATATTAAACAAAAAAAAATATTAAAAACAAAAAAAAAACCCTTATTCCCCTTAAATGCCCTCTCATGTCAAAAGTAAAAATTTATTATTTTGTCCCAAAGTTGTAGCAAAATAATTAAAAATGGTGTTATATAAAATATTTAAATATTTACAGTTTTTTGAAAACGAATTTGCAAAACTTAATAAATTTTGTAAATAGTAATACATTTTTTTTTTAATTATGACATCGCCAGTTGCATATATCTTGTACAGTACTGTATATATATTTATATTTATATTTACACACACGTAACTAATGTAAGTAGGTGGTAAAAACAAACGAGTCGTATAGAGTTAAACTAAAAACTTGCAATTAACAAATACTGAATATTATTATTTTTTTATTTACACTAAAACATGCATTAAATTCATACTACTGCCTCGCACTCAATGCTTTCTTCCAAACTTTGTTTTTGTTTTCTCCGTTTTTTCTTCTATGTTTTCTGTTTTTTTATTTTATTTATTTTCTCCTTTTTTTCTTTATTTTCTTTACTTTCTTTGTTTTCTCCTTTATCGCGATTTTAGACAAAATAACGTGTGCTATCATCCGGTTTCACCTCTACGGGTATGGCCTTGACTATGAAACGCCGGCGATCGAGCAGTGTAGGTGAATTAGAGCTCGCACTTTTAGAGTTGCTGCCATCGTCAGTGATCTGTTTAGAGCGGGAAAAATAAAGCAGAAAAGGTATAAAGATAGAAATATGAGTTTAACAGAATTTTTAAACGTTTTGAAATATATTAGTTTATTAGTATTGCATATGTATATATGTAAGTATAAAGCGCAATTTGGAAAAAAGGTAACAGAGCAAGTTTAAGCAGATCTCAGACTGTATATTACTGTTATGACGAGTATTAGTAAGCTGTTCGAGTGCCAATTTTTGTGTGCGTTAGCTTATTGTTTATAAACATGTGTTAAGGGAAACGGCTAGTAAGCGAAGCAGGAAGTGTTAAGGTCGCACCAAAGTTTTATGAGATAAAAGTGGGAAGCAAACGACAAAAGGAGAGGAAGCACAAAAAACCACTCAAAAATATACTCACTTATGTTAGCGTAAAAATGCTTTCGTTACTTTCAAGACAAAAATCATTTAAAATGCCTTAAACAAGTAATAATTATTTGTAATATTCATTTAGAATGTGAATCACAAGTGCTAATTAAGTCCATTTATATTATTTGTATGAGTTTATGTAAACATACAAACATGCTACACTCATAGTTTTATGTAACTGTGTATCATAAATTTAATATATAATTGCAATAGTTGCATTATTGTTTACGATTTTTTAATCAAAATCTTGAGTGTTCATTTGTAGTTTTTGTTCTCAATACACAGTGTTGCATTTATTATAGTGTTCAGTTTATTATATATTTTTTAAATATTTTGTTTTCTTTTGGTTTAATTTTTAGTCTGTTTGCTATTTCAACTAATTTTACACCACGTATTCGATCTGGTTTATCTAAAACGAAATTAAGAAAAAAATAAACAAAAACAATAAAAAATATTTTTCTGCATAGTTAAGTGTGTGTGGGTGTGTTAAGGCACATTGTGAAAGATGTGTGTAACGAAGCTTTGTTGATAAATTTTGTTGCTTAAATTAGTTGCATGAAGTGAAGCGTGAATTATACAAAAATGTTTCAAAAATTTTCAAAATTTTTGTTTTGTGTATGTACATAGATTAATTATTATTATTTTTTTTTAATAAAATGCTTTAATTAATTACAAATAAAAATAATTCAATTGATTAAAAAACAAAAATAGTTTAATTAATTTAATTAATTACGAAAAATATTATAATTATTTCAAAAAAAAGTATTGATTATTTTAGTTATTTTTAAATGATTTATATATTTCTATTTAATTATTTTACATGCCAAATGTATTGCGTGGCGTTTAATGTTAGTCACTTCTTTATAAACATTTAATGTGTGTTATATTAGCAACTATGTATGTGTACATTACTTACAAATAATGTGTAAACATTTTAATTAACGTGACACATTTTTAAATTTAAGCTAAGACACATAAATAATACTCAACCTAGTATAAAAAATCTTTAATAATTTTTTATGCGTAATTTTCATACTTTATTCATATTTTTTTTTGTTATTTATTATTCATGTTTATATTTTAAATATGTAAGCCACTAAATATATTTATAAGAAATTGATATATTGATAGAATTGATGATCGAACACCTTAGTTTATGCGCATTTACAATTTTATATAATATTTAATTAAACATTTCATACTAATTTGAAATTAATAAAATAGTTTTTATTAATTAGTAATAATTCAAATACTGAATATTTTATTATAATAATGATTAAATCAATATTTTTGTATTGTGATAAAAAAAAAAAATTATCGTAATTAACATATCACCACTTTTACAATAACTATTTTATAGCTTCGTAATTAAGTAATTACACCACCACCCTATAAAAACTTACATATGTATATAGGTTTTGTAATTTTTGTAATTTACAACTACAGTTAATGCTAACATGTCACCATTTAAGTACATACGTACAATACATAAACTCAACTCCCTTATACCGCTACGCTAACTATATTTACTTTTATGTAACTTATGCATGTAAGTTTTCCAATTCACAATGATAAATGATATCAGGTTCATTTTTAAACCCAGAACATATCTTTATACCCTTTCGAAATATATTTTCCTCTGTCGTTCGTCTTGTTTGGCACATATCATATGAAGAAACCTAGGGTAAGGTCACTGAATCTTAGCAAAAACAAAAGGAAACTTATTTAATGTTCAAAATTTTATTGATCTAAATCGAATCAGTAAAATAAGTAAAAAGTAAAATGTAAGATGTCATTATTAGTAGAACCTGACCTGTCGGAAGCGTTTATATATATATTTATACGCAGAACCGATAAGGATGTAGAATAATACAAATGAAGAAGCTTCGGACTTGTCAGAACACTACACTCCGTACAATAGCAGGATGCCCCTTGGTATCTCCCATAGAACCCTTAAAAAGTTGGTTTTCTTCAGACAGTTTCTACTAGCATGTCTCGCGGATATCATCTTTGCAGTCACCTGCTTGGAGCGAACCCTTCACTGACTGGCGGAGTCAAACCACCACCATAGCAGAAGAAGAGCTCGAGTTGCTCGCAAATCTCGTTCTGAATACTAAATAACTAGTGCTTATCCTGAAGTGACCCCAACATACCAAACCTCTTTCCTGCTTGCAATAAGTTCAAGAATGATTCTAATCAACTCTTTGCCTGCCTTATGAAACCAATTCAAGTATAACCCTTTTCCCAATGGTCCGACTACGTCGAATCAATTTATGAATAAGTAATTGCTGTCCGTTTTGCTTTTAAATAACTTTTTTTTTATATGCATCTTGGGTTTAAAAGCATCAAGTTACTTACAAATGTATATACATACTATACAATATTCCGCGTTGGGTATAAAAATATGAGCTGCAACCGAATTTAACCTTATTACTTGCTCTATTAAATTCCTTATTTGATTATAATTTATGTACAGATAGTGTTTTGTTTTTGATAATTTTATGCAGGCTTTATTGATGAGTACTCACATCGATACAGGCACATTGGCTCTCGTCAAATATTGTGCCGGTCGTACAGGACTGACTGTCGCGGCAGACACAACGGCATTCTGTTTCATCCCAGTATTTGTGTCCTTGCTGAAAATTTAATAAAAATATATCTAAAATTAGAGTTTCAAATATTACTATTTTAAATATTCATCGATTAGACTTTACTTAATATTTTCCATTTTTTTTGCTATTTGCATTTATTTGGCACTATTTTATACTGCCTGGCGATTTACACCAACTTGTATTTAAAAAAACAAAAATTGGGATTCTGTTGTAGAGTCAAAATTGGAGGAGATATTTTTTGAAATATTTTTGTTGATGATTCTTGAGCGTCTAGCGTGGTAATACATTTTCTTATTGTAATTAAATTATTTATTATATTATTATAATTATTTATTATTGTATATTATTATAATTATTTATTTACAAATATTTATAAGAATTTATTATGCCCTTAACAGGGTATATAAGTTAGCCACCCAGAAGGAAACGTCGGAGACTATAAAATACATATATAAAATATTATCTTGATGAGCTGAGTCGATTTAGTCATAACCGTCTGTCTGTCCATATGCCTACATACATTTGTTCTGAACGAGCCTTATTTGTTTTCTGTTTGGTTGGCATGACATCTGTCAAACATTTTCAATAACCTTATAGTCATTGAACAAAAAGCATCCTATGTTTTCATTGTGTTCAAAATGTCAAATTTTGTACCGAAAAGTGATGATTTTCGGAAAGCATTAATTTTTTGTTTCCATTTGAAGAAAAGTGCTGCAAAGTCGCATCGAGTGCTTGTCGAGGCATATGGTGATCATGCTCTATCAGAAGCAACATGCAAAAGATGTTTTCGACGGTTCAGAGATAATGATTTTGATGTGAGAAATAAAGAACGTTCCACGTCACAACGTCCACGGCAAACAAAATACAAGCAATATTGGGTGAAATGTTAAACAACAAACAATTTCAGACCGTTTTTAAGCTATGGGAAAAATCCAAAAGTGTGGAAAATGGGTGCCACATGAATAGAACGAAAGACAAATGGAAAACCGTGTGAAATTTTGCCTCAAACACACGAAAGAAAATTAGTGTTGCATCGAACTATCACCGGCGATGAAAAATTGATTTATGAAGTAGATCGATTCAGTAAGAAGGCAATGCTCTGTGTTTGGTGGGATCAGAAGGGTGTGGTATATCATTAGCTTCTAAAACCTGGTGAAACTCTTAATACTAATCGCTACAGACAACAAATGATCAATTTTAACCGATCCGATTAGCACTTGTTTTCATCGATGGGACACGCATTGGCTGCGCAGCACTTCGATTCCTACGCATAAGTTGAAAATTGAGTGTCTGATTGGTTTGCTTCAAAAGACGAACATTTCTATTGGCCGTTATTCACAAATTGCCAAAAAGGTGGTCAAAATGTGTAAAAAGCAATGGTCAATACTTTGAATAAATTTTTTTTACTTTCCCATTCAAAGTTAGTATTTCATTTTCACAAAACAACCGGTACACCGCAGCCGCTATGATGGATATGACGGTTGCAAGTTATATTTTACTGTATATACATATTTACATACTAGGGCTCGTCAAATTTTTTGAATAACCTGATAAGATTATTCGATTAACCTGAACCGACCACTATAGCATATAGCTGCCATACAAACTGAACGATCGGAATCAAATGCTTGTATGGAAAGCTTCTTCATTTGACGAGATTTTTCCTCGAAATCGGGTATGGACTATTGTCTAAGGCAATAGTGTAATCTCAGAAGAAATTGTTCAGATCGGACCTTCTATGCCGTACAAACTGACCGATCGAAATTAAGTCCTTGTAAGGAATCATTTGTTTTTGTGAAGGGTATTATAGCTTCGGTTGTACTATTTTTTTTGTATATGTTATTTAATTTTTTGTTAAGTTTTCATTTACAGACAATTCCCAATTGCTTTCGTGTTAATTCCTCATAATATTGTATTTCATCACTTCTTCACTTCTTCACTAATTCACTACTTCGTACTTGTACTAACCTCTAAACATTTCTGCAACGCATCATCATTTGTACACTCACAGCTGCACTTGTCCGCCCGATATCTCTGATATTGCTTGCAGTCCTGTAAAAATTAGCGCATGTAAGCACACAATTATTTCTTAAAAAACTACCACCACCACGCTTACAAACACACACATGCATATATATAGCAATTGCAACAAAGCGAAGCAAGCAAACAACAACTACGAAAAGCAAAGTGAAAGCATAAAAGCGACCATACCCGACTACCTACCTCCGCCTTAATGCGACAGTCGCATTTGCATTTCGTGTGCTGTTCCACGACGACAATATCCTTGCCACGAATGCGCATTTGTCTGCCGCTGACCACTTCAAAAGGAAACACCTGAAAGTTGATTGTCTCCGTCTCGACGGGTTGACACGACATCAGCTGTGAGCCACAGCAGCCGCCGCAGCGTTTCACACGCGTACACTTGGGAAAGTAGTCGATTTTTGGATCTTTCGAGGGCTCCAGCGGTATGAGCGGTACAACGGTGCTCTCAGGCATGCAAGCTGCTGGCTTAGCCGTTAGTACATTAGCTGAGTTAGGGGGACGGAAGAAAGGAAAGTTATTACTTGGAATTCATAAATTGGCAGAGCGTAAATGGTGGCTTACCGCGCTCTACGCTGCGTCTAAAAGTGTCTGAAAAGATTAATAAGAAAAGAGAAAAACATTAATTAGCTGATACAAAATATTTAGAAGGGCTTTAAGTACAGTAGCAAAAATAAAAAATTTAAATTAACAAAAAGCATTATACTCTATTATACTATATCTGTTCGCATTCACATTACCCATATTTCTCGCGTCACGGCTTAATAACATTGTCATCGTCAACGTGCTTTGGTTAATAAAATAATTTGCATTGTTGATCGCGTCGGTCTCATTTTCAACGTGGTTTTCAATTTTAAATTCTTACGTTGGGAATTTACGTTCGGTAACAACCAAAATGATTTCGTCAATGACTTCATGTATGGGAAATACTAAGCTCTACATTGAACTCACCTTGTAAGCCTAGCTGAGGATCAATGCTATCCTTATCGACGAAGCGCTCTATTAAATCCTCTACATCCGTCACATTGGCCAGCTCTTTGTAGAAGGTTAAAAGGTTCTAAAAATATAATGTATTTAATGCTTAATTAGTACTGTAAAATGTATTTTAGTATGACATATTAATAAAACTCTGCAGATATTCTAACCTATCTATAAATGGCTTATCCGCTCTATCTTGCAAGGATACTGTGTATTCTGTTCATTATTCCAGTATCATTTTCTAAAGCTGAATAAGCGCTGAAAGCCAAAGAGCTTTAAAAGCGTAGTATGGAGAGGTATCAGCGCTTTATTCACGCTGAGAACACAATCTTTCGGAAAGCCTCATATCGAATTTCATATTTAGTTTAATTGAGGTATTGTATATTACTTATGGAAAACCAATATATTCAGTACATTCAACTATATGTATATTTAATATGTTTACAGTTTAGTAGAGTGTGAGCTAAAGTACCATTATTACTAGGAATATTTTGTTTACTAGTGGGCGATTCCCCTAATTTTCGAAATTAAATGTATAACCCTTCTAAACTACTTTACTATGTATGCGAGAGGGGTTCGATAATGTACTTAGCCTTAAACCCTCCCTTTATACATTGTCGTAAATGATTGCTGTAAAAATTGCAGCAGCGTCGGAGTCGTAATTTTGTTTTAACCGCTTGTGGAAAATAGCACTGGTGATTTGATTTCTGTGTGTGAAAGCGAATGTGTGCAGTGAAATGAGAGAGCGTTAGTTCGTTAGTTAGAGTTAGAGCGACCATAAAAATTGGTTTAACGAGTCCCAACGTGGTCACATTGGGCGGATTCCTTTTTACGAAACAAAAAGTATTCTTCCACCATGACAACGCACCGTCTCATACCTCTTCCCTCGCCATGGCTAAGTACAACTGCTGCCCAATCCTCTTCTCGTCTTTTCTATTAAAGAAATTTGAGTCCTATGAGGAGTTTATGGCTGCTATATGCCCTTTGCAGAATCTCAGAAATCTTATATTCTGACGGTTCAATAAAGTTGGAGCATTCTGGGGCCCCTGACCGAGTTAAAAGGATACTTTGTTGAGAGATAATCAAATTTTGCAAAATTTCCTTTTTATTTTGTGGGCTAAGAACTTATCGTTCTTGCTTTGTGATGGTCTGGATATCTTAATCGATCATAATCTTTTCCACTACTCTTTTATAGTTCCATAGCTTACAGAAGAATATAGAGAAAACGTCTTTCAGTAATCTAAGGCTTGGTCTAGTGACTGACATTCATACTCTATTCGTGTAGGGCACTAATCCAGCACGCCTTAACTAAGTTTTAAAATTCTAATTCTCGATAATAAGTGCAAAGAGATCGGCACTAACAGTAATTATTCGAACGTGTCTCGGAAAGAAGTAGGTTTGGGGTGCCCCTCATAACTCGGTGCTAGATCATCCGAAATCCGTTTTTAACGAAAAAATCAGCAATTTGTAACTTTTCGGCGTTACCTCATAAGTTATCTACAAAAATAGTGATCCAAATTTCAAAAGGATCGGTTCAGTAGTTTTAAAGTTATAAGGGGCATCGCTATTGTAAACCGGAGTTGTGGGGGAAAACACTTTAAAGTCAGCTCAGACAGGTACAAAAATACTCGTAACTACGTCAATTTTGCTTAAATCGACTTAAAATTTAGACACAATATTCTTGATATATTATGCAATAAATTAAAAACCTAGTTCAACACAGTTTCATTAAAAGGTAGTAAGTCACATATATACATACATGTATTCATTCATATATGGTATTACGATTGTAATCGCATATCATTAAAGATCTCGACTACTGTGTGAATACCCGTATATTCTCTATGGAAGCACTATAATCCAACCGCCAGGTGTAAAAACCCGCACTACACAGGTTAAATATTTATCAAATCAGAGATTAATTATTCAATTAAATAATTTAAATAAATTTATGCTTTCATATATAAACATACTTACAGTTGTATTGTAATAAGTTAATATAATATATATGCAATTATGCCAACTTGTGACACCTAGTATGCACTCGAAAAAATCTTGTTTTGTGTGATATTGTAAAAAATAGATTGATAAAAATCGAGTTGCCGCTTGTCGTCTGTGTATGTGTGGTTGTAAGCGTACATTGGCTTTTGCAAATTCATTTTGTTTTTACGTTTCTTTACTTGTTCAAAGTAATATGCATATTTATGGTTATTTGTATGTTATTGTTGTTGTAATGAGACACCCGCCGGTAGCGCTTGTTGTTTTTAATGAATTTTCGCACAATTTTTTTTGCCGAGCAAATTAACTCGGGTATTTATGTATGTAGTACATATGTTTGTGAGTCACCGCGACATTCCTTATAAAATATTTAGTTAGGTAAACATTGGCAAGTGGCTTCCTCAAACCGGTAAGCAGTTAGTTAATCAGTTAACTGTCGGGGAGCCAATAGCCGAAGTAGGCGCCAATGATTGTTGGCTGTCTTCGCACGCGCCACTTACCATAGATTGAATCGCGATCTGTTGAGTGATGTCGTGCAGCAGGTGTTTATTTTTCGTACACTTTCAGTTCCTAATTATTTCAGATAGTCCGAAAATTCGTTTACTTGAATATTAGGGTTGTCGATAAATAATTATAATTTTTATTTTCATCCCCCCCGGGTAAAACTATCACATATAAAATTTACCGACGCCCAGGAGTCAAAGGTCACAATTAACGCTGTCACTTTATTTAAGTTAAACCCAATAATACCATAGAGGAGACCTAATTATATAGATATACATACATGTATCCGAGTTTACTATTTGGATGAGAATCGGATAGGAAACTTAAATAGGTCCAGCTGTTTATATAAGAAATGAACCTTAAAAACAAATATTGAAGGCATCTTCGAGCTAACCAGTTTTTTCCGTGCCAACGAATGATTCGTATGGATATCTGGATATCATGCATAAAATATGGTCTTGAAACAAAAGTCTTCATAAGATTATATCTTTAAACCGTATTAATAACATTTTAAAAATTTTTTATCTCGACAGTCATACCTAAATTCAAATTTTTTATGTTATAAGCTGTAGTTGGAATTTTTGAAGTTTTCGATAACTTCCCGACCTTAACCGAATGCTTCGTGCCACTAAAATCATTGTGTTCGTGATAAAGTAGACACTACTAATTTATATATGGTCATTAAACTTCACTCGAGCGTAAAAAAAGGTTGCACCAATTTTGAAAAAAAAAATTTATCGATTCAGTTTACGAGCGCAGTTTAAAAGGACCTAGTCAAAATGCATCAGATAATTTTTCGACTATCATACTATCGATATACTAGGTGTTAAAAGTTGAGAAATTTGATATCAAATTATTGTTTTTGCTTTTTTCAAGTACCACCCTAGTGCTTATACATATTCTGTATTTTTAACTCTTTTTTTAATTTGTACAACTCAAAGCGGAATTTGATGTTGCTGCAATTTTTATTTACTCGAGTTGGCGGAAATTACCAATGACGCGTTCAGTGGCGACTCACTGTAATGTCATGAGTGAGAGAAAAAAATATGGAGCGGATGCGTTACCTGAACTGCTAAAATGCTCGTAATTGATTGCACATGTTAACATATGTATGTATGTGTATTTTACCTCCTCTTCGCGTTTCCTAGCACCGTTAATTGTCTGATTTTTAATTTCATGTAATTAACACGTTTGCACCTACAGCGGCGCAGGTAAATAAAGGGTAATCCTAAGCGCTTAGTTTTAGAAATTATTTATAATTAAAGAATAATATTTTCAACTGATTGGTAGGAGTAGTACTCTGTTTTTGGTGTAGATATCAGTACACTAAGACGACAATTAGTATGCTAAGCTTCAGTAGTTCAGTTCCTCTCTTCGTTTCTTTCTACCATAAGATCACTATAAAGAGGAATATTTTCATAATATAATGACTTCTTCGAAAAATCAGTCTTCAATATAAAAGATTAAAATTTGTAATACAAAACGCAAAACTATATATGTTTGGAAAGTAGTTAAATTTTTGGCGCACCCTGTAAATGATTTTCCGCCATAATTTTCCCAATATGTAGTATGAAAGTTTATAAATGTGAAAGTAGAACATTTAGTTAAAAGCAATTAAAACATTAAGAGTGCATTAAGCATATTTTATTAGAAATCAAGCGAGGAGCAATGCTTAACAACTCGTTTTGTAGTTTCTTCTCAAAGCTTTGTATTTAATTTTAATTATGGAAAAAGCTATGAATAATCAAGTAGAGCTTATTTACTTGGCGGCGATATACCCGGGGCTTGGAGCACGTTTTTAAACCGGCGCCAGACTTTCGCTTTGTATATACAAAACACTGAAAGAGACTTTGTGTTTCAGCTTTCATTCGGTGCTTGGGATGGAAAATGTTTAGCATTTTAATTAGACTACGCACTAAGAAGACTCAGAGTGCTTAAAGGAAGCAACACAGATCGGTTAACAATAGAGCAAAGGGCAGAAATAATATCATGTTAGCAAAGATAATTCTATTAATTGGGTAGTCGGTACCGTATTTTTCAAATAATATGATATTTTGACGGTAATAGGGAACACTTTTTATAAAAAGACTTTTCTTTAACATTGGGAAATGTTGAAATTTTTTTAAGTTAGAGTCGACTAAACTATATTGAATTTATTGAAGATCATCTCATTATGTTAACAAGCACAATCAAGATCAAGATGTGAACTTGAATAATCTCTCACTTCAACAGGATATACTTGTAGACGATTGCTTCTTTTTGACAAAACAGAAAGCATTACTAAGGTTACACTGTTTCGACTGCCCAGGAGTATTGCATCGCACGTTTGGAATATAAAAAGAAGCTCGATGTATGGGTTTCACGCAAGTTAACGCAAAAAGCCTTATGGACCGAATTTCCATTTTCGGCTCACTGCTGAATTGCGACCAAATCCATCTTTTTTTAAAGTGGATAGTTACTGGTGATGCAAAGTGAGTCACTTACGACAACGTCAAGTGAAAACGGTCGAGGTCAAATCGCGGTAAGCAGAAGCGACCAGCTGTGGCCAAAGGAGGCCACGTCATCGATAGAGATTCACCGGAACATCCGGGTCCGGGTTTGACACCAAGTAATTACTACCCGTTCCTGTCTATGGCGTAACTGTACTCTTATAAACATTCTTTTCAAAAGTTTAACTCACACTTTAATTTGCACAACTGATTTGTTCTTCTGCGCAAAAGCTAAGTTATTTGCTTTGCTGGCATTTGTTTCATTTTTTAGCCGATCGTGAGTCATGAACGGAAGCTACTACTTTTCTAAAGTCAATAGCGACGTGTTGGAACTGCAAAGCGCCAATTATTATCTAGCAGGGCTTTTAACTGTTTTCAGATTTCTTTGTTGATTCGATTTGTGTGGCGTTTATTTGCGGCTTTGTTATTAATTACTTATACATTTCGCTTTTCAATTGACGTAAGAATTGGCAAAACGCGAGTTTTATCAGTTAATTAAAAATTTTGTCGCCAGTGTTCTATGGATATATGGATAAATGTATGTATGTATTAATAATACTAACGAAACAGCCCACCGGTGGAGAAAATATAAATATATATTTGCAATGTGTTAATTAGCAACATTGATCGCGATTTCAATAAACTAATCCATTTGAAAATAAAGTAAACACCAAAATATTCAGTGGAATTGATAATAAAATTTAATTTTTATTTGCTTAAATTTAAGTTGGTTAATTAAGTGAGCCTTACTAGGCTTTTGATTGTGGGTATAATCTTTTGTACATATGTATATATCTTGTTTGAATATCTGAATATGTAAATAAATCCCTCAAGGGGAGATAAAAATTAATTATGTTACAGTGGGTGGTAAAAATAGTAAGGAAAGTGAGGGAGGTTTTATATTTATCTCGTATGATATAAAATTGCATATATATTCAGTTTTCTACTCTTGCAACATGTTGCTACGGAGTAAAATAGTTTTGTTTACCTAACGGTTGTTTGTATCACCTAAAAATAATCGAGATAGATATATATTATATATATAGGTATACATGATCAGGATGAAGAGACGTGTTGAAATCCGGTGACTGTCTGTGCGTCCGTGCAAGGCGTAACTTGAGTAAAAATTAAGATATCCAAATGAAACTCGTGTTTCTTGGCAAAAGGGTGAGGACGAGTTCGTAGATGGGACCACTACCACGCCCAAAAAACACCATTAATTGAAAACTTTTTGGCATTACAATCGCAGTAGCAAGGGGCACCTGTGGGCTAAATATTTGTATAAGTGGGCGCGGCCTCGCCCTCTAATAAGTTTAATGTCCATATCTCCTAAGCCATTTAAGCTGAAATAATAAAACATCGTGTGAATGGTTGAAATCGGATGATAATCCCGCTTCCGCTTCCCTTTCATTTTGTTAAAAACTACTAAAAGAGCGATAAATCAATAACTAAATGCACCAGAGACATTAGTAGAAAATGTCGGTCAATCTATGAGATATATTTCTGGAAAACTTTTCTTTGATAATAATATACCCTTATGTAAAAAAATAAGTTGAATCGGGTCCATACTTCTTCTAGCCCCCATATACCTAATATAAAGATTTTCGAACTTACAGTTGACTTTATACCACACATATCGCCCAATATTCTAGTTATTTTAATGAAATTGAAAGAACGTATTTTTCTAATGAATGTATTTAATGTATCTTTGTACCTGAAATGGGTAAAATCGAGTGAAAACTTGCCTTAGCCTCATATAACTGATATTCAGAATTTTGAAACGTCTGGCTGACCTGACTCCATATATATGTTTATATTTATATATTTATAAAATTGCTTGAAAATAAGTTCTCAAGTATACCTGAGCAATGTCAAAAATTAATACAATCAGCCCTTTCATTTCTCTGCCCCAATATACCCTATGTCATGATTTCTGACTTTCCACCTGACTTGAAACCATTGAGCTTGTTCAAAATGTGTGATATTTTAATAAAATTAAGTGGACACGTTTTCTTAAAAGTTAAAAAATTATAATAATGGTTTCGCACTCAATGAAAATGAAATTGGGGTTTAAATATTGTCAGTACCTGAAGGTATTTCTCCCGATTTAAGCCTTGCAAGTTGCAAGAGTATAAAATGTTCGATTACACCCGAACTTAAGCCTTCTCTACTTGTTATATACGAATACCTGTATTAAAGTAGAAACATCGAAGCAATTTTAAGAGTAGTTTGATATTTTTATAAACATTGCACACCTTTATAAAGAAAAATAAGAAAGGAGACGCTGGTAAATGATCAGCGTGATGAACTGACTCGATTTAGCTCATTTGCATATATGCGAACTAGACCTTCAGGTTTTGAGATATCGATATCTTCACGAAATTTTGGATGGATAATTGTTCAATCCACTACAATCGTCGAATAAATTGTTTAGATCGGAACATTATAGCATAAGCTGCTACAAACTGTGTCATAAAAATTTCAATATAAAAATCTTCATAATACCATCTTTTATTAACTTTTATTCCACTTGAAGGTCGTTTATATCATGTTAAAGGTTCCGCATTTAAATTTAAAAAAAGCAGCCCACAAAGGTAGCGAATAGAGAATACAACTATTATCTCGATGTAAACTTTTCTTTAAAAATCAATTTGAAAATGCAGAATTTGCACCAAAATTATAAAAAAAATATTGGAAATGATAGCTCATAGACATTGGAATCATGTATGACTACAGGCTATCTTAATCTCCTTTGGAACTTGCTTGAACTATTTCTTAATCTCTAACGTATTATATTAGATTTAAGCATAGCCAGTGGATGTAAAACGGATGGAAAAGTCTTTAGTATTTGAACATCATTCGAATCTTTGTCGAGATTTTGGAGATCTATAACTAGATTTTACGAGGGCGGCCGGATAAGTACTGAGCCCTCAGCTCGATGACGCCACTATCGGACTTGAAATTTGAATTTGGTCGCGTGTGGAAAAGGCAATATCATCGGTCGCTGGAGGCGATTTCTATTTTTGGAAGGGAAATTACGCAGTAAAATCAAAGAATCGCATGTCGATCAGGAGCCTCCAAAACGGCTACCACGGAAGATACGTTAACGTTTTAATCCAAATACCCATCTTGTTAACTTGACAATGAAAAGTTGGAGATCTTAGTAAAGTATATGGAAAGTAATTTAGTGCTTTCCGAAATGGTTTATTTTCCTCCTAATTTATACATCCACTTTATCCCACAACGCAATTTTGCAATAAATATCTAATCTAATCAAAACCTGTCTATATGTTCATACAGTTCTGTATATGTATGTGTATTATTACTTCAGATTCTTTCCTCATTTCACTTACCTCATCACTTGTGCCGTCCGTCCGCACCCGCTCTCCCGCATCGGCAGTCTCCGCCGTTGTATCCGCGTCAGCGCTGCGTTTGTATAGGAAATGTGTTGGAATTTCAATGCCTGCAATGTTGTTGTACAGCATGGAAAATGTGATGACGGTTAGCCACAGTAGTAAGGGCGTCGATGTGCACCCGTGTTTTATATGCATTTTTGTTGCGTTTTATTTCCACTACGCCTTTTCAATTTATCAATCCGATATTCTTAAGTGTTAATGTTGTTAATTATTTATGGCGTTTTTGTTTTTACTTTCTAACAACTTTGTTTTTGTTGTATATCTATCACAGCTATGCACTTATGTAAGTGCTTTGATAAACAGTTTGAGATAGACAGCAGGCAGGTAAACACGTTCAGACTTAGCAATTTACAGCAAGGGTTATTGTAACTAATGAACTTGTTTGGCTGCAAATGATATTAAGAAAAGGTGTGGATATAAGTAATTTAGTAATAAAATCAAACAAAAATGGTTTACTTTTAATTTTTGGGTTAAACGTATTTTTGGTTTCTTTTTCAAATTTGTGTTGTGTTGTGATTACTTAATTTATGCATAAGCGTCACTTTTCGTTTTCATTTCGTTTTATTATACCCTAAACAGGGTATATTAAGACGACGAAGGCCCTATAAAATTTGTACACACACATATAAATGATCAGCGTGATGATCTGAGTCGATTTTGCCATGTCTTTCGTCTGTATATACTGTAGTTTCTGAGATATTAATTTAAATTTTGCTTACGTCCTCTTCTCCGCAAAAAGCTGCTTATTTGACGAAACCGCCGATATCGGACCGCTGTAGCATATAGCTGTCATACAAACTAATCGATCAAAATTAAGTAGTTGTATTGAAAATTTTCTTATTTGACATGATTTCATAATGTAATTAACACTACAATCGGAGATCGGATTTTTCGGAGACAAATTGTTCAAATCGAACCACTATATTATATAGCTGCCATACAAACTGATCCATCAAAATCAAGATAAAGATCGGTTTATACCATTTTATGTTGTTAGAAATTCATGTTTGTATGGTTTTATGGTTTCGGTGCAGCCGAAGTTAACGTTCTTTCTTATTTTATTTACATACCATATATACATACAACTTTTGTTAACATTTTCTAGCATCTAAACTTGTTGGTGGTGAAGAGTGCGGAGGCGCTGTGTTGACGCGCATGCGCACAGGTGTTTTGCTTGTTTGTGTGCATACAGCCGGTCTAGTTGCTCGTTGTTACGAGTCACATACACAATACTTGTCTTTGTTTATAGATACTGATATGTATATGAGCTGTCGCATTGTTTAGTCTATTCTTCAAATATTCTTTATTTGTTGCTGTAAATTATTCGACAGTAGTTGTGTGCGTTTTTTAGCTTCCAATCGTGTTTGTAAATGCGAACTTATGTAAATATGTTTGTATGTATGCACTGTAACTCGTGTATTGGTACCACCTTGGCCGGGAGTAACCTCTTTGTGGCTTAGTGTTAGTTTAAACAGCTCAAGTGCTGCAAGCAAATATTAAATAATTTCAGTCCAATGCTGGGCGTAAATATTGGATTAGCTTACGGTGGCGCCAAAGGTCATCTATGATAAGAAAGTGGTAAGCATTTCTCTTAAGAAAACGAGAAGACTGTAGACATTTTTAACACAAACGACGAAATGTAATGCAAATTCTACTTCTAACCCATGATAAAAAATATATACAATGGTATTAGTCCGTTTATAATGTCAAGGTATCGCAGCTACATGGAAAAAATCAACGTAGCTGGTGTGATCAGTAATTGCCTAAACGATGGAGGATAAGGTGTCCCCACAATAATGTAATAGTAATTTACTTTTTTAAAGTTGATTCTACAAGTATATGCTAAGCTTAAAAGATCTTCTTCACTTAGTATATATGTCAAAGTGTCAGCTGTCTTCGCCTTCTTCTTATACCAGAGTAAATCTATGACTTTAGTCCATTCTCGCAAAGCATTGCTTTCCGCCTTTAGATACCCAATATGTCTTTATAAAGTTCAAACTAATCATTGTTTCTTCGTTCGCTATTGTTTATACACTAATGAGTTGCAATTTTGTAGATTACGAGGACAAACGTGGAGTGGCTTAGGGCTAGAGATCTTTACTTCGGATTATACTATTTACTTCAAAGTACTATGATAGTTCCATGATAGATGAGAATAGGTTTAACTTCAAATTAGTAACAAAATAGGTTGAGGATCCTGTCTTTGTTTTAGACTTATAACAAATTTAAAAATCTTTTCTTTCGTGCGCATTTTTTTAAGGGATTTGACTGCGTTTATCATTATTATAGATGCTTTCAAGGGCGGAAAAAAATAAAACAAACAAAAACAGCTTCCATAAGGAATAAGAACTGAAAACTAAATCACCTTACGATAACGAGAAACTGTAGGGATTTACGAACCAGAATTTTGTAACTAAGGAACTACAAAGTTAAAACAGCACATCGAATTTGTTGATTAATATCTATTCACCATTCGGGCGATAATAGGAAATTCTAACAGATGAAGGTGAACAGTTTACATGTTTCGTGGTGAATACAAATGTCAAATTTAGGTTTTAGGTAAAAATTTGACAACTTCCAAATGTTTTGACTCCCTGATGGCTTACTTGGTGCCTAGAATTTATTAAATTTTTTTCACCTCAACTCAATAAAGTAAACAAATTTCAGTTACTATCTATAATAACCTAGTTTTATCTGATCTATATATGAATTTATGCATTGCGCTTACAAAGACTTACAACTGTGGAATTAAATCGCTGAGGATAATGTAAAATTACAGCCATTTCACATTTGGCTTTGCAAAATATATTTCATATGTGGCTTCTTGAAACCACAGCTCTTTCATAAGGTATTTAAAGTAACAACCACCAAGAGTAATACTAATATATTTATGTTTTATTGCACCATTTCGCAATAAAATATAAATATTTGAAATATTTACTTTATGATTTATAATATCATTAGCAATCACTTGAATTTTGTTGACTTTAGTTTATATGTGTACGTTTTAGCCAAGTTAGCAGCACAATCGGTTTCATTCATAATTTCTAGAGAATTATAAAATGCTAATAATAAAAAAACTGATAAAAAATAAGATATGACTAATAAGGTAAAAATGTAGTATTTTTCATATCTTCGACAATGCTACTCAACTTGACATTGATACTAGTTTGCTTTGGTTCTTATCTGTTAGCGTTTAACGGCTTTGAAGCAGGTGGCCACATAGTATGTTGAAATTTTTGTACGAGGTGCTGTAAACCATTACCAAATCAATGCCAATAACTGTATGTGTGGAATTGAAATACTTCAAATAGTTCCGAAATTTCTTAGAAACTTTCTGCTGTTAAGAAAGTCTCTCCTCATTTTTTTTATATTCTGAATTGAGTATATTAAGTTTGCCACGAGGTTTTGAACATCCAGGAGGAAACGTCGGGGACCCTATAAAATACATATACATATGTATGTATAAATGATCGGCAAGAAGAGCTGAGTCGATTTACCCATGTCCTACATATAACTAATCGATCGGAATCAAGTTCTTGTAAAGAATCTTTTGTATTTGAGAAGGGTACTATAGCTTCGGTGAAACTGAAGTTAACGTTTTTTTCTTGTTTTAAAGATTTTTTCTACTTTAACACATTTTTGGGCATATTTTTCAGCACTCGATAAAAATCAATATGACTAATGTTATTTTCATTTAGCAGATTTGGACAACTTTTTCCAAAAATTCGTAATAGAATTTTTCGTTAGTGCGGAGGAATAAACGTATGTCCTACTGCCGAACTATCACTGTTCGATAAAAATTTGGATACGTCAACAAGTTAGCGTCTGAACACGTTTCTGAGCTTCTTGTTAAGGACCAATAGAGGCTAAAATAACCCCTTAATATATTAGTTGGTAAAATAATCTAACAGTTTTATAATTATCAGTGTAAAAGCGTACACTCAAGCAATACTTAACCCACAAATACGGGTTATTGAAATATTATATTTCATTCGATATAGAAAACTAAATTGCACAGGAGTCCTTCAGCTAATTAAAAGTGAGGCTTGTATCATCACATCTCACATGTTACGGAATTATGGAAAACTTTTAAAAATCTAAAAATCTAATTAATACTCGTGTAGCTGTAATTTTCTTTATACATATATTATTTGAAGGTATACAAATTTGAACCTTAACTATACCTACTTGTTAAAAAAACTATCCTTATTTCTAAATTATTATTCTCCAAAAAATATTATCAATTCTATTAAAGTTAACGAAACTTTAAAAAATTGGGTAATGGTTTGATTACCATAATAATACATATTAATTATCTTCACTCAAATAAATTTTTTAGTCAACAACTTTTTTTTTCAAGTCCGAGATTATGCAAGATAACTCGGTGAACTAATGTTCTAACCTTTTTAAATTTTATAGATTTATAGTTACACATTGTGAAAGTATCAAAAGTTTGATACTCCTTGACTTTAGATCTTTCTTACTTTTTGTAGATAACTTTTACAGATATTAATACCACTACATGTAAAACAAACAACAAAAAGGTGTTCATTTGAGACTTCACTAAATATGAGTGTTTGCATGTAAACATTAAAAACTCGATCTATTCGTGTGTATATATGAATGTATGTATGTACATGTGCTTGCGAAATCCAAGGGACGACCTCGACCGAGTGCTTTAACTTTGCAATCACTGGAAGGTATTTGCTTGTGCCGCTTTGCACTTTGCCGACTTCAATTGAACACTCCTCAAAATGCAACGAACGATCGCGTCTTTATGTGTGTGTGGGTGCTTGTTGCGTTTGCATTTATAAAAACACAACAATAAATTAAACTTATTATATATACATATGTACATATATGTTTATTTGTATGTTTACATGTGCGTAAATACAAACATATGTAAAAATAATTTATTTGTATGTATTTATGTATGTTTGTGCCTTCTAGGATATTCATTTCACTGTGTGCGTTCGCGTAAACGAAGTCCAAGCTTATTAAGCAGTTCAATTGGTAATCTAAAAGCGGCTGTCAGAAATATTTAGTACTGTGTTAAGCATATTCTGGCCCCTCAAAGGCAGTATTTACGAAGGCCAATGTCGAACTATGACTAAACTCTATGCCAATAGTAGTATCTATTCATAGCCAGACACTAAATAATTATTAATTGCGTATTTATTGCACGTACTACACTTGTGTTTACTTATGTATGTACGTATTTAAGCAATTACGCATGAATCATAATCGAGCACGCAGCTTGAGTGTAAATAGCTGGACGCATACTTATCATTAAGCTAATAGAAGGCTTACAAAAGAACTATTCGGTGCTTCCAACCGCGCTGTCAGAAGACCAAGAGCCCTCCCGCCTTCATTCATACATATA